CTATGATGGTAATGCTTTGGTCGAAAGATCTATCTTTCAGAATAACAACGCTCAACCTCATCGTGATCGGATTGCTAGACAAGCTTTAGAATCGGAGTCAATTGTCACTTTACCATTGGCAGCCATATCACCATACAAATCTTATTGAAAATAAGTCGGACGAAAAATTAATCAGAGTGAAGCCAGATGTTCGAAACTTGCTAAACTGAGGATTGCTTTGGTACAGGAATAGCGAATTTTGCACAATTTGAACCCCGATGTTTTTTTTTCAAGGAATGAGAAGATGTGTTATTCTTCTCTACCGGAAACGCAAAGGGTATACCCGATATTGACCATTTGGGGCTAAAGTTACGGTTACCAATACGGTCTGATGTATAAATAATAGCATATTGAAACCGCCCCAATGAAATCTTTGAAAGTGAGAAATGTAACGTTGACAGGAATTAAAACTAAGAATACGTGTTGTGCGTCTCATTAAAATTATAGTACACAAACTGACCTAAAATTGAGAAAATGATGTAGCACACATATAAGAGAATAAATACACCTTAACTTAAAAAATGCAGAAGAGCATACATATCAAGCACGTTTATCAGTAAAACAAAACATTAAAAAAATTTAAAAAAAAGTAATTCTCAGAATACTATCACTTTTACGAAGCTTTTATCTAAATTTTGTTAGTTCCAGAAGGTTTGATATATTCTTTCTAATTCTAAAATCTTTAATTGCAGACTGTACCTACACGTAAAAGTTGAGTACAACAAAATAGAACCAAATTCATGTATATTTATCATGATTGTCAATTCTAATCTAAATGGCTATTTAGAAGCTACATTTAAAGTGTCACGAAACGCAATGATTGTTTAAATCAGATTATTGATGTTGTAAAAAGTTCGGTTAGAATCATCGTAGTATTTGCCCCTGCTTACTAGTATAAAGTAAAAAAAAATGTTGATTAAAAGACATGTAAGAAACACAAATAGAACTTATTTTAACCAAGTTTGATTAAAAATCGTTGATGTTTACATCCAAAATAGGGGGAAAAAAACAAAAATTAAACAATGCTCAGATTTAAAACAATTTAGGGCTTATGAAACATAGAGCGCAGGTGTAAAAAACTAAATATTCAAGTCAGACATGCAAAACTGTTTTAACAAACATCATTATGTGAAAAGGCAACCTTTTCACATATTTTGGCAACATGATGTTTAGACTGTTGCCATGGCAACGCACATTATACAGGGGAAATGAAAACAGAATTTTACTCTAAATGAGACCTTAATACACGTGAATCTGAGGAATTATGTTAACATTTGATGATGTTTAAAAGTGGTTTTGGTTTATAAAATAATCTGGTCGAATTGGTCATAACTCTTTATGTCTCAAAAGAAATGCTAAAAGCAAGATGGATAAACGTTGAGTAGTAATACACAATATTAACAAACGGACCAAAAAGATCTATGAGACATGTTTATTTGGAAGGTGGTCTACAACAAATGTATCAATACATAGAATTTAAATTAATTTTGAAGATATAAAATAACACAATATATTCGGTACGTTGATCGAGCAATGTTTTCCTCATTTGCAACTGTAATGTTCATTTAAGTATAAATAGTTTAAGCACAACTTGTGATGATCACATTTGTACTTTGTGAGATGTTGATTTTTCATTAATTTTACACTTGTATATGATGTTAAAATATGAAATGGAGAATTGAAGAGGTTAGGGTGATTTTTTACCTGTAATTGGTACCATTCTGGTACAACGTAGTTAGTTATGATTTTCATATTTTTGTTATTTCCTTTCTAGTATACGCTTATATTTCTCTGCAGGATCGATCCTAAGATTAATTATCTCTTTTTAAATAAATAAAAATAGACACATCTTGTATACATACCTTCATAGTACCGGATACTTGAATTAACATACATTCGGTAGATAACTACGTATGTATTGCAAATCATTTTAAATATTGCATCTACAGCTACATACAGTTAAGGTTTCGTTTAGAGACCGGTTTCAAATATCTATCGATACGTTCGAACACATGTTTTACTGTTACATGGTGATTTCATTAAAATAAAGGCAACAGTAGTATACCGCTGTTCGAAACTCATAAATCGATACAGATAAAAAACAAATCCGGGTTACAAACTAAAACTGAGGGAAACGCATCAAATATAAGAGGAGAACAACGACACAACAAAAACACAACATAAAAATGTAACACACACAGAAACGAACTATAATATAACAATGGTCATTTTCCTGACTTGGTACAGGTGGGTTGAACCTGGTTTTGTGGCATGCCAAACCTCCCGCTTTTATGGCAACGTCAAACACAACACCAAAACGATAGCATCACATGACAGGACCACAATACAAATAAATTGGAGAACATATAGGACAAAGAAACACACGAATAATAGCTAACAAAAGGTACTAGGCTTAAAACTCAATACACCAGACGTGCGTCTCGTCCACACAAGACCAACCAGTGACGCTCAGATGAAAAAAGTTTGAAAGCCAAAACAAGTACAAAGCTGAAGAGCACCGAGGACCAAAAATGCAAAAAAAACTTCCAAAAAGTTGCGCCTAACACGGCCAGGGTTTTCTGCCTGGGACAAGAACATCCTTATAATTAAGAATAATTTATAATTTTGCAAACAGTAAATTTTATAAAATGACTATATAATAGATATACATGATAAAACCAAGGTGGGGACTAACTACAGAATAAAAACGGATACATTACATAAAACAACTTAATCCAACACATAAAAAAATACACAGCCGAGTAAGCCAAAGCCAAACCCTCAACGCACAAAGTGACGTCACATTTGAAATTCATTAAAACCCATAGTATATGGTCTTTTTGATTTTGTCAATTCAGAATAGATTACAACATATCCTTGACTTTAAAAATGTCTTTTTTTTGGTTAGTTTTCTGTTTGAAGTATTATCTCATGGTTGAACTTTGATAAACTTGAAATTTAGTGATTTCGTTTTATCTCTTTAAAATGAAATCTTTTTTTATTCCTTTGTTGTCTTCGAGACTGGTATAGATATTTGTTGGCGCATGTACATGTACGCTTTTTCCACATATTAAACACCACATCTCGCCTAATTTATGGTTAAATACAGCAGATTTGTATTGCCTCTCCTGAAATTTTCAGTATCGGCATTTCTTGGGGAACTGGTCTACAAGTCCTATTTAATGACGGCTTTCAACCATATAATATTATTCAAAACCCGAGTATTCCATACATAGTAATACCACTCATTTTTTTCTAATATTTTTTTTTTTTGTTTACATTGTGATTTGTGAACAAATGAAACTGTCTAAGTCAATACATTTTAATATCATAGTATTTCGCTTTTTTTGTCTAATTATCCATTAGATTGACCAAAATTCTCTCCGCAGTGGAAGAAAGTCTTCAGAAGTACTGTGAAATTTTTTACTGGCGTAGTGGTATTAACCATATGTGTATTCTAAAAATAAACTCTTACGAACTTCTGGATAATTTTAAATTTCGATCTTTCTCTGAAATAAGTATATTAAAACTGTTGTTTGTTAACCCTTCATACCAACACTCCCCATGTCAAATTGAAAAATCGTCTAAAAAAACCAACCAACAATGCTTTTTAATATGAAAATAGTAGCATACGCTATAAATTTATTGTTTTGGGGAAACAATACGGCATATTTTGTTAATATTGAACAAAAAGGTAAAGCATGCTACACCGAGGAACAAATGATCAGCATCCTGGAGTTTCTTATTGATAACATAGTTATTGAATTTGGAGGTAGACTTTTTCAACAAATTGTCGGTATTTCTATGAGAACAAACTGTGCGCCTCTTCTGTCGACCTCTTCTCATTTTCATATGAGTCGGAGTTCCTTTGACATTTGTCAAAAACAAGAATATCAAATAAGGCAGATCATTAAATTTCACATTCAGATATATTGATGATATTCTTTCCATGAACTATCCAAATTTTTCTGATTGGATTCCGTCAATATATCCTCCAGAACTAGAAATAAAAAAAAACAACAGACACGGCTCCCTCGGCCTCACATTGAGATTTATACCTTGAATTTGACATAAGCGGTTAGCTCAGTACCAGAATCTATGACAAACGAGACGATCTTTGACATAACCCTTGTTCGTCAACTATCTGCTCTGACATTGTCTCCAATGTGCACATGTCCAAACATAAAATGTACATTAACTACCTATACACATATCTGCCCATCATTATAAAAGTATGTGCGATATTTTTAAAGACTACATGAGTTTTTGTAAGCAAAGCTATGATAAAATAAAAGAATTCGATGATGAAATGAAATGTTTTAATGATTGAAACATTTTGTCCGGTTTACAATTGTAATTGATAATTATTGGTTGTACAGTTAATTGGTATACATATTATTATATTATAACCAAAAGAGAATTACAAAATATAATAAAAACTGTTATTAATTGACTGTTGTAAGTTATTCTGCAACTTGATCATTATATTGGCAAATAAAAAATGAAGAGACTCATTTTTTTCATCCCTGAACATTGCACAACAAAACAACTAAGGAGAAATTTGCATCGAGTTGCTCGCTTTGGTGTTGTTAATGCTAAAAATTAGTTGAAGGAAAGTACCGAGGAATTTGAAATTATGATAAGTGGCATTTAGATAAGGAATTTTACTTAGATCTTATAAATTCGAATACTCAATATTGTCCTCACCGATTATTCTTTTTGAGGACAGCAGTAATTCATAAATCTATACAAAATGTGTCTAACGAATCCTAAACTTAATAACAAATGCAAATTATCTTTTAATTGTAAACATAAGTCATTCCTTCATAGGCACTAAACGAGGATCGTTCAACCAGAAAAGCGTGAGAGCAATATAAAAATGACTCTTTAAGATGTCAATAGCAAATATGTTTTATAAGATTGATAATATATTATAGATGGATAAGCGAGTTTTTTTACTATTATAAACGATTGTCGTGTTTAGTGAATCCTTTATTTACATGTGCATGTTTTTCCTTCGTAAATATTGTTTTCTTTTCGTGGATCGAAGTTTTGTTAGGCCCAATAAGTGACAAAATAACAGGGAGAAACAAAATTGCCTGGCCAAGACCGAACAAAATTACAAGAACCATTACTTTAAAAAAAGAAATAAAAACGTAAGATTCAGAAAATGCGAGCATGATTATCCCAATTAATGATGACATGGCCCCGTTAAATATTGGACCACCTGACAGAATGATTGCTTCATTTACCCGCTCATTTCTGTTTTCGCCATCAACAGTTAAAAAGGCATGACATATATGTGCGGTGTAATCAACAGAAAATCCGACACTCATTATTAAATGAATCATTGTAATTGAACTTAAAGAAAGTCCCCATAGATGCATGAAACCGAAAATTCCTAGCATTATGAATGCCATTGACAAGGTAACTAACAAAATGACTAATGCATTCGACAGGAATATACTAGTTACAATAAGAACAGCAGCCACTGCTATACCAACGGTCTGTAGTGTATTCGGAAGAACGGCAACGTACTGCTCAAAATAAATAAAAGCAGGCGAGAAAGAAAATATTCCTACGTCCGATTCTTCCGTTATTTGTCTTATCCTCAACATCAACTCTCCTTGCATGTATGAGTCTTTGATATCATTTGTTATCATATGGACTCTTGAATGGGAAACGGTACAGTTATCGCTAAATATAACATCATTTGAGAACGATGAATTCGAAATGTATTTTTTTAAATTTAAGCAAAACGATTGCTCAGATGAATTGTCATATACATTTGATGATCTATATGAAATCAGCCAGTTAATTTCATTTTCTGTATGTATGCCTTGATCCTGTTTGATTTTAGTCAAAATATCTTCAAATGCATCTTGAGTTTCGATTGATTCATAATTAATTTTTGAGGGAAAAATCAAGGAAATGATAAATTTTGAAGGAAAAAGGTCGTAATCCCAGATACTGTATGAATGGTAATATGATGATTCAGACACCAAATTGCGAAGGAGAAGACCATGCTTTAAGTGAACAACTCCCCATATTGAGAATCCCAAATAAACAAAAAAACCTACTATTACTAAGATTTTAAATGGAAGCCATAAGACTAATTTTGGAAATGCTATAGATGGAAATTTTTGAAGAAAACTTTCTTGGTCGCTTCTTGAGGAAGGTGGGGATCCACCACAGCATGTTATTTTCAAACAATTTCCTCCTTCGCTATTCATTTCTTCCCTGCTTTTTGTTGTGAGGCATGTAATGCAATGTCTTTGAGCTGCAACTCTTCGTTCATGTATGCTCATACAACCAAGGAAAAAAGTCATCTGATTGACATAGCACAGTAGCACAGCCAAACCTGAAATCGCAATTAAATGGATGATATCTTGCTTTATGACAGCATACACACATATTTCTAAGAACTAATTACTTAAATTTCAGCGGCAAATATTACCTGCGTATCCAGTACTGTTACATGTTAATGCGACAAAAACATTTGTTTCTGCTAAGTCTTGATTGGAAGGTTCTCAAAGATCATAACGTGATGATAACAATACCACAATAGATGTTGTATTTGTACTGACTGATATTTAGTCTTAGATACATGATTTTTTATTAGTTGTTATCGGCTTTAAACTAGCTGTTGCTAACTTCAAGTACTCTCAGATCTGTACTGTACCTGTAATTCAGTGGTTGTCGTTTGTTGTTGTGTTACTTTTTTTTCGTTCATTATTTGGTACATGAATTAGGCCGTTTGTTTTCTCGTTTGAATTGTTTACATTTGTCATTTCGGGGCCTTTTATAGCTGACTATGCTGTATGGGTTTTGCTAATTGTTGAATGCCGTACGGTGACATATAGTTGTTGGTTTCTGTTTCATTTGGTTTCTTGTGGAGAGTTGTCTCATTGGCAATCATACCACATCTTCTTTTAAAATACAATGTATATAGGAAGACATGGTACCCTATCCGGAAATATCATTCTGAATTTGACAAAACCATACTTTGGGCTTACTCATAAAGATTCTGATCTTGTTAGAATGCATAAAAAAAAACAATACAATTTAGTGCAGTTGCATATATTCTATCAATCTGTCCACAAACTTGTCGTGTTAGTTTAAAAGAGTGGTTGTTACATTCTTGTATAATAATTTTTTATTTGATATTCCTCAAGTCCAATTTACATCCTAAATCTAGAGTGTCATTACCGGTATTTTACATAATGTTGTGAACCATTGACCACGGTACCGAAGGATCAACTGCTTTTGTTAAAATCCATCTTACTGATGTTTCTGTTTTATTTGATACGATATACATCACAAAAAGTATAATTAAAACAGTCATCGAAAATGGCTCGTTATTTGATACGCCAGTAGCGCGTTTTGTTTACATTAGAAAATGTAAACTCGTTAACGGCGCTTAAATAATATCATATCGGAAGTTCAATTCATCAAGTTAGATAGCATATAAAGCCTAATTCCGAAAAGTTGTGCCCAATTGGGCTAAGGCAATCAATAGTTTTACTGTTTTACAAAATTCCCGACTAAAATATAAAATCAAAAGTGCGTATTGCATATATCAAACTAAGTAGAAGATAAAATGAAGATAACATATAAGTTTACCAGAGTACAAACAGAAGTTCCGGACGCTCTGAAATGATGACAACATCCCTACCGCAAACGCTGTCACATTTGTCAGTGATGTTATTGTGATAGCTACTCCACTTGATTGCATAGTTTTCCCAACACGCTCTTCAGTTGATTTGTTTAAAGGTGCAGATGCTAGTCCTGACATCAGAATAAACATATCATCCACACCAATACCTAAAATGATTAAAACGACGAGAAAAAATACCGATTCCACATTATTATGTTTGCGGCAGATGCTTATTAACTTTGGTGGGATTATGAATTGGAAATGTTGTGAGTCAATACATGTATATTTTTATTTTTTTTCTATTCGTTAAACAACATTGACATGTCGAAACCGATTTGTACAATATAAATTAAAGTAGTTTAATTTGAATTTTTTATTGATAAGAGAGGAATGTGTATTTTGTTTGTTCGTCTCCCCCTCACACCGTTTTGCCCATTGTTCTAATGTTCATAATTACTAATGTATATGTATATACAGAATGTGTAAGAATTAATTATGAATTCTAAACATGTGGGGAGTTAACTGCATTATTCCTCTCTCCCATTTATAAAACGTTAGCAGACAAAAAATTTAATGCATCATTCTCTAAGAATCATATGTATGCATACCAATAATGAGAAATGGCATGACTCCAACGATGTTTACAAATTCTACATTTAAAGCACTACCAAGTCCAAAGGCGCCTAAAATGGACAAACCACTAGCAATCACTCCCGCACGACCTAAATGTCCAGTATTTGATACGCAGTTCCCACCAGCTGCCACGAAAGAGGCGTATGTAATCATCAACGTAAACGTTAAAGAAAAATATGAAATATCACCACCAGTGTTGGCATCTAGTTCTTTCCCTAGAGAGTCTGAATTAGCAAATGCAATACTAATATTTTGATTGCCTGCACTAGAAACAAACGACTGAAATGTATCTATGAATTTCTGTTCCCACTTCGATGCTAATACATTGCTTGAATGTAAGTCTTGCCTTAAGTAGAAATTTATTTTCAAAGCTGTAACAAATACTATAAGTCCATTTGCATTTGTTTTAACACCACCTAGTGTTTGATCTAGTATTTCCTTCTTACCATCTTCTGTCAAAAATACAGGAAAGGTGACGTTTCCAAATGCAACCTGTTTCCAAAAATAATCAGAAAACAATACTGAATAACTGGCGACACAAGTACTATTACGAAGTGCACATAAACTTTTATATAAATATGTCTGGTCTTCGTGTTCGATTGAAATTTCTTCCACCGTGTTTATAATTGTGTTTATATTTGATTGAAATGTCTCGTTCAATACATTTCCATCGTTTGGTGATTTTATAATGATACTTCCATACCTGCCAAGGTCAAGCAAGCTTTGTTCATAGAAATTCGTACCAGTAAAATCGGGAAATTTTGTTCGCACCAACGCACTATCTTGGTATGCCTGGCTATTACTAGGGGTATAAACTGTCAGATCACTATTGGACCTCATCCACAAAATATTTATACCCAAAAGCCCATTAAGCATGATTGCAAACATTATTGCTGAAATAGGATTTCTCGCTATTATCTGTCCATACTTGTGAAAAGTACCAGCTAGTCTTTCTTCAAATAACGTTGATAGAAACATGATCACTGAAACAAAACATATAGATTTAAAAGCAAGTTAATTTATAAAGCATGTCTAGGGCTTCAAAGAAATATAACAAACGACATGTCTGTGCTCAGGTGAACAGAAAATAGGATGATAGGATTATATCATTCTATCGTTTGCGGAAAGGAATGTTGTCAACATTTCATATGATAATTATTCACATGATAATTTCAATTATTTTATTTGCTAATTTTGCCATAAATATAAATAGGGGGTGTGATAATAAGTATTGACTAATCCTGGAAATTATATAAATAACCAGCTAACCCTTTTAAAGGAATGTTTATTTTTTTCCAGAAACAGATAGAATCCTATAATCTGTTCACCTTATCACAGATTGTTATACTACTGTGACGTCCTAGACATGCTTTCACTTAACTAGAACACATTTTTGTTAAGGGGCCAGCTGAAGCCCGTCACCGGGTACGGGATTTTCTCGCTGTGTTGAAGACACATTGGTGGCCTTCGGCTATTTTCTGTTCTTTGGTCGGGTTGTTGTCTCTTTGACACATTCCCATTTCCATTCTCAATTTTTTCTATTAATTTATTTGTTTTTAAATGGTCATTTTTACATAAGGAAGTGTTTGAAATTTAAGCATTAGCAGCATCTATAGGATACTTTCCTCATAAATAAATATTAATGATTAAAACTGAAACGAATGCATTTTTGTATTCTATGGGTATTTCCCATAAATGCAAAATGTTCAAAGGTAATTTTCGGCTATTTTCTGCTCTTTGGTCGGGTTGTTGTCTCTTTGATATATTCCCCATTTCCATTCTCATTTTTTCTATTAATTAACTGGTTTTTAAATGGTCATTTTTACATAAGGAAGTGTTTGAAATTTAACTATTAGCAGCAGCTATACGATATTTTCCTCATAAATAAATATTAATAATTAAAACTGAAACGAATATAATTTTGTATTTTATGGGTATTTCCCATAAATGCAAAATGTTCAAAGGTAATTTTGTGGATTTCCCATTTTTGAATTTGCATTGGAGTTCGTTTTTTTTTTTTTTTTTTTTTTACTCAAAATATGAATACATGAATACTTTTGAACTGTATAGCCATATGATTGAATTTTGTTTTTTGCAGATTTATTTAAAATTTAAGTTTTTCATTCAACGTAGCAAAACCATATTTTTCATGATTATTATATCAACTATAGTTAGAGGAGGGGACAAGGCGTCTGTGCATTGCTAGGAGGTGTTGTCGTAGAAGTAAGAAGGGAAAAGTACAGGTTCCAGTCCGACCGGGGAGGAAGTAAAGAAACAAATCTACTCTAACATTGTTAGTTGATTTTCTAGGCACTTTATAAATATTCTAAAGCCTGGTATTTCTTTATCATAAGAAATCCGATGGACAAGGTATAATTTACAGTTGTCACTTCGCATAGGCAAACATAAATATATTTATATATATATATATATAGGTACGTCTAAATACTAGTAAGTGACAACTCTACGACTGATTCATGCATTGGATCAGCAGTGAAGGTGATACACGGCTGAAAACACATATATAAATAATTACTCTAAATATCAGCACAACAATTAAAGCTGCAAATTAATATATAAATATGTTGAATCGAACATAAAGAAAAAATTCACAAAATAAAAGAAAGTAATGTACAATAAAACCTGAAAAATAAAATCTGCGAAAGTTTACACAAAAAAAACGAAAACTGTATGTAAAATAACAGAAATATATGAATTTCAGAATGATACAACCCAAGAAATATATAGAATAATAATTCGACCTCACATAGAAAAACTAACAAGCGGGAAAGATTTCATCAAAGTGAAGATAAAAATATCTAAATTTAAGAACAATCTAATATTATTATTTAACAACTAAAACAGAATGAATTGATATATCAAATGGAAATTGCTGCAATACATGTGACCATGTAAAACAGATATCTGAAAGCTTGTAAATAGTTTGTAAGCCTCATGTTAAAAATGCAATATTGTAGAAAATACTGAAGAAAAATATTTCATCACTTACAAATATTGTAAAGGAATTTACGAAAATATTAGATTATTTCTCGATAAACTGAAACTATGCTTTCATATCCAAGGAAAATAATTGAATGAAAATTATTATGAAATAAAATAATTATAATTGTTTCATAATTAAGCATCAATAAACTACTATTTATCAAAAAGAAAATAAGGTTAATGTTTTCTTTATATTCAATCATGAATTTCTCATAAGATTACACCTTTATAAAGTTGCTAAACAAAAATTAGGTTTCATAAAACAGAATATGTCAGATATTCTTAAAATATTTTTTTTCCTTTTGAATTGGTGCTTGATTTACTGTACTTGTTAAACTTCTTGTTTAATTTTTAGAAACACCAAAGTCAGATTATTTATTTACAGTTGTGAAAAATTATATATGAAAAAAATAGTTAATACCGACATGAAAAGGTATAACGTTGATAAATCTCAAATTTTGTGATAATTTTGAAAGCAAAAATTTATACTCACAAATTATAATTCTTTATTATTCTAAAGGTAACCCGAGTAAAAATAACAACAGTACTTATGACTTCTTAAGAGAAAATTGTATACTTAACAGATTTGATTACAGCTTTAATTAAATAAAAAATGAAATGTAGTTTTATGTTTTAATTAACGTACACAATTCTGGTCTGAAATATTAAAATATGATTAGTCTTACCTTTTTCCTTATACACCAAGACAACCTTAAGGGCGTGTGTATATTTAATCGTGACTGAACTTCCTAGTACATTTCTTGGTATTACAGATATGCAACTGGTCCAGTTTGATATATGTTTGTTCTTTTCAAGATTTTGCACAAGTGAGCTTATCATTCATATAAGATTATAAGTGTCTCCTATATGAACGGCTTTATAAACGAGTTCGATGTTGATCATTATCATTTCAAAGTTAACTAAAGGATATACAATTCGATTTAAATATTGATGAAATTTTGAAAAAAAAACGCTTACGCTTCAACACATCTTTCACTCGTATTGATAAAAAACAAATAAACCATATTTTCTTAAAGAATAGAACATTAAAATGCAACTATGACAATCAGCAGCAAAGTTCCCGAAGTAAAAAGTAAAATAACAAAAATACCGAACACCAAGGTAAATTCTAAATTGAAAGTCCATTATCAAATATACATTTATTTTACTAGTGATAAAACAACAATATTTTGGGAAACTATTGTTTATTATCCCGGGTTGTCGTTCATATAACTGAATGAGTTAACTATTCTCAAAGTTTTAACCTTTATTTAAATTACCATTCCAGTCCTCCCTTCCCGTCCATTTTCTGTTTTATACAAATACGTAATTGTATTATGAAAACTAATTACAGAACAATCTCATAGTGAAAAAATGATGTAGATTTTAGCAACTATAGGTAAAAAACTAGCAAAACCAATACCGTATATAGTAACCGATAAAAAGCCGCGACATGACAAATGAAGTAAAAAATAACAAAAAATACTGAACTCAAAGGAAAATTCAAACGGAAAATCTCTTATTAAATGGCAAAATCAGAAGCTCAAAAACATCAAATAAATGGAAAATAACTGTCATATTCCTGACTTTGTACAGGCATTTTATTATGTTACAAATTGTAGATTAAACCTACTACTATAGCTATTTAAACCTCTCACTTGTATGAAAGTCGCATAGAATGTTATTATATCAACAAAAAGGTGTGAGCAAAACAAGCAGACATAATAGGTAAAATTGACAAAAAATTGGGATAAATATCATACATTTCAAAAGAGAAAAAAACTATAGCCTGACTATCAAAACATGTTAAAAACAATAGACAAAAAAAAAACCAAGTAAAATAGTTAGAAACCAACGTCTACCAGTGAATAACAGGCTCAGGATTGGTATAAGTACTTTAATAATGTGGTGGGTTTAATATCATAAGATGTGGTATGTGTGCCAATGAGACAACTCTCCATCCAAGTCACAATGTATAACAAATTAACAATTATAGGTTAAAGTACGGCCTTCAACACGGAGCCTTGGCTCACATCGAACAGCCAGCTATAAAGGGCCCAAAAATGAATAGTGTAATATAATTTCAACAGGAAAACCAACGGTCTAATCTATATAAAAAAAAAGAGAAACACTTATGAACCACACTAACAAAACTACCACTGACCAACAGGCTTCTGACTTAGGGCAGGTGCATACAAATGCAGCGGGTTTAAACGTTTTAACAGGCGCCAACCTTCACCCTAACCTGAGACAGTTGTGTAACATTACAACATGAAAAGACACACTATAAAATATCAATCGAAATGGCTTTACTGGATCAAAAAAAAGTAAACATACACTAAACGAATAAGTTAGATCTATGACACAATATTAATTAAAAAAATGTAGGAACAGTGTCAAAAAGACAATCTAACCTGGGACTAAATGGCGTTAAATATAACAACGTACACATGTAAGTTAAGATATAATAATTTTGTTATTAGGAGGACGGAAGTAACTTATTTTACAAAATTTATAAATTTGTTGATCACAGTTCGAGTACAGAAGTGAAAATTAATCGTGATATTAAATACTTATCAAAGGCGCTCCATATTAAAAATAGTGAGACGAGATATTACACAAAATAAATAAACATTGAATAACAGAAATGTATTACAAATTGTGTCAACACGTGAAATTAACACGAAAGTACGATTTGGGAGTACTCGCAGTTACTGAAAGCTAGTTAAAAGCCAAAAAAACAATTAATAAAAAAAAATCATACATCAGAGACTTAAATCGATTAAAACACATCCCAGGGATCTAGTGTTTTAAACGCCATGGACAGTCAAAGAAAGCGTTGCCAAAATAAATGAATAGGCAGGCAGTAGTATATTTGCGCTCAACCCTCACTTTAACAACTAGCTCTAACAGCACAACCATGGAAAAACTGTAAAAATAAGTCGATAAAGGATTGACTCCTCTAAAATGGAGAA